CTCCCTCCCTCCCTCTCCCTCTCTCTCTCTCTCTCTCTCTCTCTCTCTCTCTCTTTATATAGGTATGCATTTGTGAATAAGAAATGCTTCAGCCGTTTTTTGAAAATGTAAATTGTTGGGGCACATCTTATTTTATATGGGGGTTTGTTCCATACCTGGGGACCAAAGAACAAAAAGGAACGTTCGCAGTATGTTTTGGGGTTTTGAAAATTAGATTGTCAGAGGCTGATCTAAGGGCTTTAAGTGGATTTTATAACTCCAGGAATTTGTTAAGATAAAAAGGTACAGTATGAGTAGCTGCGTTGTCGTTCTTCTTGTTGGTTTGTTGTTTGTTTGCTTTTTATTTTGTTGCTGATTTTGTGCAAGAGTGACAATAAAACAAAATGTGTCCGAGGAGGCAGACTGAGTGCCTTAGTGACAGTCAAACAAACACACAGGGTCGCCACCACTCAGGGAACATGTGACGCTTGTTCATGTTAATGTCCATTGTTGCTCAGTGACCACTCATCTCAATGACGATTTGTGTATGAGTTCTGGGCGGGGCTTATCGGTTATGAGGGATCGCACGCTTAACTCATCAGCAGATGAAAATTTATTGTTACCTGTTGGTCAATAGTGGGAGGGGCCTACGTAACATGATTGATTTGAGGGACTACTTAACAACAACACTGCCGTCGTAAGGGAAAACGACGAATGGTCCTGTGCAGGTAGCGAGGCAAATTTTTCAGGAGAGGCAAAAACAGTTTTCACTTTATAACTTCTATTTTTCACTCTTTTAAGCTGTAATTCACCAGATATATGACAGAATTGTCAATAAAACAGTTTCTAAAGTTTGAATGGTTTAGGTTAAAAAGTAGCAAAGTTATTCGACATTCGTCGTTCTCCCTTACATTGCGCACCGGCAGGTGAGCCTTTCGATGTAAGCGAAAACGATGAATGGTACGGTTCGTCGTTCTCCTTTACACTCGTGAACGTTTATGGGCGTATGCGATGGTCAGTTGTGACGCATTATTGACAGTTATGATATGACTGTGTACTGGTTACTACAAATAAAAATAAGAGGTATACAAACTAGCTATTATACGTATAAAGTGAGTTGTTTGTTATATCCCAACTGTAACTCGGTAAACGTCCTTTGTTTCCCATCCTCGCTTGGTTAAATGCTACACAGTCAGTGTACAAATCAGATGAGCACACATTTTCAACAGCTTGATTTAAAACTGTCCCATTCGGAACCAAAGTTTGGTCTCCATGATATCTCTCTATTACTATTGCATTCTCTTCAGAAGCAGGTTTTACTTTTATTTTCGCTAATTGCAAAATTTTCCCTACACGACCAAAGGGATCAACAATGTTACAATGTCAACAATACGATCAGATCATTGCAAAGTCAAACTTTCACGTAAGAAATGTAACAATCTAACAAGACTGTTTCACAAAAGCTTTCTGGACAGGTAATGCGACGCTTTGTATTTAATAAAGGATTTAGTTGATCGGATCGGAAAACATACCACAAAGTAGAGATCGACAAGGACAGTTTGAATCTGCAAGACATTATTATACTTGATCGTAACGTCCATCAAGTCATGAAAATTCGTAAAGCAAGACTAAGTGTCGCCACAATACGTCCACTTTTTAAGTTGGACAAAGAAATTTACTCTCATAACACAGTGTCATTAACCCCCAGTGGGTCGGGGGGATATAAATAGACCCACTGCTTCGTCTGCAGAAGGTGCAACCCCTTCAAAGGCGG